AAGTTCAGTGTATTATTGTGAATGTTGTATCTTAATTTTTTTAGCTCCTACTTATAAGTGAGGGCATGCGGTATTTCTCTCTCTGTGTGGGGCTTATTTCACTTAACATAGTTTTCTCTGAGTTCATCCATGATGCTGCGATGGCAGTATTTTATTCTTTTTTATGGCAGAGTAGAATTCCATTGTGTATATACCACATTTTCCTTATGCAGTCATCTGACGACGGACATTTAAGTTGGTTCCAACCCTTGGCTACTGTAAATAGAGCTGCGATAAACATGGGAGTTCAGGTATCCCTTCAACATGATGATTTACACTCCTTTGGATATATACCCACCAGTGGAATTGCTGGATTGTATGGCATTTCTATCTGTAGCTGTTTGAGGAACTTTCATACTGTTTTCCATAATGGCTGCACCAATTTGCAGTCCCAACAACAGTGTAGGACGGTTCCTCTTTCTCTGCATCCTCACCAGCATTTCTTATTCTCTGTCTTTTTGATAATAGCCAGTCTAACTGCAGGACATGATATCTCAGTGTGGTTTTGATTTGCATTTCCCTGATGCTGAGTGATGCTGAGCATTTTTTCATGTGTCTGTTGACCATTTGTATGTCTTCCTTTGAGAAATGCAGTTCTGGCTGAATTACTCCCTGCAGGGGTAAAGCAGGTGGGCAGTTTAGAAAGGAAGTGCTAAAGTGTATAGGAATTAGCCTGTGGGGCTTCTATCAACAGGGCCTCTGTCAACAGGGCCCAATACTATATGAGGCTTGTTAGCTGACCAGTGTGCAGCTTTAGTCTGTTTCCAACTGGAAAGAATCACATCGGTGTGCTTACAGAAAGCATTTCCCACGTTGAAGGCACAGCCAGGTGACCACAATCTCTTCTGTGTTCTTTTCTTGAATGCTCAGCACATCTAAAAGCATTTGGGGGGCCGGCCCGGTGGCGCACTGCTATAGTGCGCCGCTTGGGAAGCGCGGTGGCGCTCCTGCCGAGGGTTCAGATCCCACATACAGACCGGCCGCTCACTGGCTGAGCGAGGGTCGGGAGCAACACCGAGGGTTGCGATCCCGTGGCCGGTCACGAAAAAAAGACAAAAAGGAAAAAAAATAAAATAAAATAAAAGCATTTGGGTATGTATTTGGTATATTCAGAGTAATCAAATCTTACGAATATATGGAGTCTTGAGATGTGTTAGCTATATTTTCAAACTCCCACTCAGAACAGTTGTCATGGACAGATGAGAGAAATGCTATTCATTTTTTCATTTTGCCACAGTAAATTAGGTTGAACAAGGCAACCACAGGGTTCACTTTACCATTTTACCAGTGACATCAAGCACTTTCATGGACCTATTAAAAAGCTTAGAAAGGGTCTCAACAGTCATCTGGCACAGCTTGCTGCCTTCAGGCAAGTGACATTTGATTTCTCTGTGTAGGTTAAATTTTACTGACCTCATACTGATAAGCCATGTTTGAACATATTTCACTATACATCAGTTCAGCTGGGCCACAGATTTAAACTATTCAATGTACATTTAATAAAACAATTTAAAAAAGTGTAAGTACAAATCTACTCTTTGTTCTAATGGGGATTCATTATATACTTATCCATGAAATTTTCTTCCAAAGCAATCAGTTTACTAGAGGTAAAGTATCCAAACAAAGAAAAGGCCTGAAGAATTAATGAAACTGCAATTATGCCTAAACCATGTTGTACTAAATTTGTAAGGTCACTATTGATAGGTCTGAAGGCAAATAAGATTACAGACAATGAATCATCATTTTTAGAACCACGTGTTATATCAAGACTCACGAGGATGTGAGACAGGAAGAGAAAGATCAAAGGACTGAGATGTGCTGATGCATCCATAGCTGAAAACAGCTATCAAAAAGCAGCAGGCATCTGGGAAAGAACTTTCTTTTTAGCCTGGAGGCCAGAAATACATTGGCATTGCCTCTGGAATTGGAACAGAACCAATTTTTAATTGGTTTTAAAATCTGGAATGGAACATTCCTGCAGTCATCCATGAACGACCTTATCCTGTAGAAGTTGAGTGAATCTTGGCCAACCATCTGCCTTGTGAATTGTTTTGTTTGGGCCCCTTATGGGACAGAAAGTACTTGTTGTGCAGTAGTTTCACATTAAGTTACAATCTTTCATAATGTTGCTTGAGCAGAGAATTCAGAGACAGAAAAAAAACTCCAGGGAGAAAAAAATCCAATGTCTTCACTCATATGCCTTGGGGGCTGAAGGAACCCGCAAGGCTGGGAGTTACCACATACTTTTCTCCATACCTTAGCATGATGGCTTCCAAAAAGATGTAAACTCTATTGGAGAAGAGAAACAGCTGGACAAATAGATTGCATTAGTGAAGGCCAAATAAGATATTTAAAGATTGATTTAACTTAGAATTTTACTAGATTTACTATTGTAACTCCAGTGCCTTATCACAGCCAAATTTCCATACATTCTGGTCAAATAAATGGTGACACTTTTGAAATATGCATATCCTGAAACATATATGCCATAAAGGATTCTTCTTAACAGTGCCCACGGATGGGGAGAGACTTTCCTCCTTAATCTACTCTGCCCCCACCAAAGGAAGCAGGAGTAAGTGAGGAAACTAAGAGGATGACTCAAAAATTCCTGACTCCTAAAACAAAACAAAACAAAACAAAACAAAACAAAACAAAACAAAACAAAAAACAAAATGGAAAACATTCTGTAGATGAAGAAGATAGTCTAAACTAATCTTTAAATAAAAAACCTACTTTCCCAGCTTGCAAATAGCTGAAATAAGTAAGCCTCACCACGAACTTCCAGCATTTGGGCTTGAATGGCTGCCTAAGAAGTGAAAAGGACAAAAGAGCATGAAAACCAAATTTACCTTTCAAATAATAATAATAATAATGATAGCTTTTATAAATATGGTTTTCAACTTTATAATATACATTTAAACATATTACTGGGAGATGTCAGATCTTAACTCCAGAATGCTCTATGGGATCTTCATTAAGAAGTATAATTTCAAGCTGGAAACCAGATGAATGGAGTTGCTCTGAAGCCATAGCAGCTAGGTAGGTGCAGAGATGTGCCATTTATTTGAGGATTGCAGGGTGGAGCGATTCATATTTCAGAGTGTAGAACACTTTGTCAGGCCTACAATTACCAATGCATAAGGTAAACCATGCTTTAATCATTCTTGATGCATGCTAATTTATATACAATTATACTAGATATACAATATACTAGAACTAATACACTGCTATCCATTCCAGCTAATCAAAAACATAACCTGGTGTCATATTGTAGGGCAAAAAGGGTTTTTTCAATATTTACTGGAATCAGTCCTTCCCTAATTCAGTGCAACAGTGGAGAACCATATATGTTCACCATAACCTAATTGATATAAGTGGGTTTTCTAGAGTTAGATCACCTGGCTCAAATCGGAGCTCTAACACTTATTACCTGTTTGACTTTCAGCAAACTACTTTGCCTGTTTTGCCTCAGTTTCTTCATCTGTCAAATGTGGATAATAAAAATATCTATCTCATAGTGTGGTGAGGATTAAATGAGTCAACACTTTTAAAACCTAAGAATGCCTGGTGCATGGTAAATACTCCATGGATATTAGCTTTTAATATTAATCAAATGTTGCAATACATGAGACAGAGGAGAAAAATGTGATGTCATAAATCCAGGTATCTGGGACTTGGATATTCACCTATAACACAGAAGGGCTTTCGGGCAAACCTCAATCGTCCTTGCCATCCTCTGTACCGACAACAGCAACCTGCAGACCAGATTCGAATGATGAACTCCAAACCAAAGACGACAATCATCACGAACTCCTAAAATATCAGACAAGACATGTCAGAGAGAAGCATTACGGAGCAAACCACAGCAACAAGCTCTGTGAATATTTCTGGGCATTTAGGCACTTTGTCTAAAACATCTAGCTGTTAATGTCTAAAGTTAAGAACATTTCCTCTTCTTCAGATCAAACTGAGCATGGAGAACATGTGAACCTCATATTGTCTGCATTTTCTATCATGGAATGCTATTCCTTTTAAAGTCACTAACACTTTGAAAATTTAGGAGCCAGTTTCAATACTAAATGTGCAGGCTGAATAATGGAAGTGTCTTGTCTGGAGTATACAGCATAGCTGACTTAGCTACCTGGTAACATATGAACTATCGAAAGTGAAAGAGCAGGGGCTAATTGATTAGCTCAGTTGGTTAGAGTGTGGTGCTATAACACCACAGTCAAGGGTTTGGATACCTGTACCAGCTGGCTGCCAAAAAAAAAAGCCGACACTGAAATATAATAGCAAATTTTACAGAAGACAGAGTTTCATTTTGCTGCAAGGAGTGACATAATCCTAAACCTTTATGGGTTGTTCTCATAGAAAAAGAAGTAAATATTTATAAGTATACCAAGTTCTTTTGTTACAGTGTCAAAAATTTCATAAAACAGTAAATTTCAAAAGCATTACCACGTGTGTGGCCATGTATCCTTTGCCAGAAATTTACCCTGAATCCTCTGAATCTGAAGCTTGTTAATTATTATGCTGCCCTTTGGCAAGAGCTGCCTAGAAAACAACACCTGCTCCAGCAAAATGACTTTGAGGCTATTTAGGAAGAGTTGTGAGTTAACCCTGGGGAAAGGCCAGCTAAAGTGGCTCATTAAAGAGTGGTTATAAGATGAAAAACCAAATGGAATCTGTAAAAGGAAAGCACCTCTGAAGCAAATTTAGCACAGTCACCTTGTTGTCCCTTTAGGGACAAGTACTGGATTTATCAAAATTTGTTTTCCTTTAAAAAATAATTTCCTTTCTTGCTTTTAAACAAGGGTTGATTCAGCATTTATAATTTAGAACAATATTTAATGATTTTAAGGTAATTGCTTAATTATAAAAATGATAACAGTCTTTTTAAAAGTTCCAAACATCACAGAAATGTAGAGCATAGAGTGTAAAGTTTCCAATCCATCTTCCCCATCCCACTCTCAAGATAAAAACTGTTACCAAATTTATAAAAATGGCATTTTTCTTGCAAGTTTCAGGCAAATGTCTGTTTCTTTAGTTAGAGCATGTGATGATATATATGCTGTACTTTTGAAATGCCTAGTAGAGATATATCATTCTATCCTTCTGTTATTTTGCACTAAGTAATCCACAAATATTGCTCACGATGGGAAATAAATCTTTAGTATCATCACTGGTTACTGACAGTGACTCAAAACTACTTACAGGATAAATCTCCAAAGATGACTTTATGAACAGATAATGAAAACTATGTTCAACATACTCTCATTAATGAATGAGGGTTTTGTTTAGTTTTGGCTTTGTTTTGGATTTGAGTGTATATCTGGGAAGTTGAGTTTATTCATTTATTAAGGTGTCTAAAACATGATATCATCTGTTTTTAATACAGCACATCTTTCCACATACAGAAAGCATGTTAAGGCCTAAAATGCCCATGAAGCTGTGTCTGCACCTGGCCTAGGTTTAATGGCAGGTCCTCTTTTTTAACCCTGCCCCTAACTCCTACTATGCCAGGAAGTTTGGCACTCCAGTTGTGAGAGGTGACACCCAAAAAAATCCCAGATGTGGACTGATCCTCCAGGCATTACCATGTAATAATTTTTCTTTTTCACGAAAACAGGTAACACCAAGAGATGTATGACCATTGTTCTCAGGTAAGGTGTGCCAAAGTCCTGTACTATGTCTGTGTTGCAGGGAGGCAGGATAAATTACATCTATAAATTCTTTACTCTAGACCCATCATTCAGGAATATTGCTTCCTGCTTTTTTTGTTTTTAAAAGAGGTTAGGGAAAAAAATAATGACAGCCTCAAAATTCATGAAGCAAAACTGATAGAACTGAAAGGAAAAATAGAGAAATCCACAATTATATTTGGGGACTTCATTGTCCCCCTCCACCCCCTGAACTACCGGAATAGAACTACTGGAAAGAAAATCAGCAAGTGCATAGAATATCTGAACAACACGATCAACCTACAAGGTGCAACTGACAGATATAGAACATTCCACCCAACGACAGTAGAATATACATTTTTTTCAAGCACCCACAGAACATTTGCTAAGATAGATAATATCCTAGGCCATAGACAAACTTTAGCAAGTTTAAAAGATTAAAATAATAAGAATGTGTTCTCAAATCACAGTGTAATCAAACTAGAAATCAATAACAAAAAGACAACAAGCAAACCTCTAAACATGTGGAAATTAAACAACACTCTTCTAGTAATCCACCAGTTAAAGACAAAGTCTCAAAGGATATTAAAAAATACATAGCACTGAATGAAAATAAAAATACAACATATCAAAATATGTGGATGCAGTTAAAGCAATGCCGTGAAGGAAATTTCTAGCACTAAGTGCTTACATTAGAAATGAGGAAGGTCTCATATTAATAATCTAAGTTCCTACCTTAAGAAATTACAAAAAGAAGAGTAAAATAAACCCCAAGAAAGCAGAAAGAAGAAAATAAAATAGCTAAGAGCATAAATTAATGAAATTGAAAGCAGGAAAATAATACAGAAAATCTAGGAAGCAAAAACTTTGTTCTTTGAAAAAAAATCAATGAAATTGATAAACCTCTTATAAGTTGACAAAAATCACCAATATCAGAAATATAATAGGGGATATCCCTATTATACAGATTTTGTAGTCATTGAAAAATAAGGAAATACTATGAATAACTTTATGCCCCCAAATTTGGCAACTTAGAAGAAATGGACCAAATCCTTGAAAACTGAAAACTACTAAAACTCAACAAAGAAGTATATAATCTGAATAGTGCTGTAACCTTTAAAGAAATTGAATTTATAATGAAAAATCTTCCCAAATAGAAATGTCCAGGCCAGATGGTTTCACTGGCAAACTCAACCAAACATTTAAAGAAGAATTATACTAGTTTCTCACAAGTTCTTCCAGAAAAGAGAAGAGAAGAAAACACTTCCTGACTCATTTTTGGAGGCATTATCCTGACACCAAAACCAGACAAAGTCAATCTATAAATAAAACAAAACCAACAAACTACAAATCAATATATTTCATGGACTAAAATCCTAAACAAAGTAATAGCAAGCCAAACTCAACAATACATAAAAAATATCCACCATAAACAAGTAGGATTTGTTCTAGGTATGCAAGCCTGGTTCAATGTTAGAAATAAATCAATGTAATGCATTATATCAATAAGTTAAAGAATAAAAAAAATCATATAATCATATTAATTGATTCAGGAAAGCATTTGACAAAATCTAAACTCATTCATGATAAAAACTTTTATCAGGTTAGAAATAGAGGGCGAATACCTCAATTTGATAAATAGCATTTACAAAAAAATCTACAGCTGACATCATACTTAATGTTGGAAGACTGAATGCTTTCCTCTAAAATCAAGAACAAGCAAGATGTCTACTTTTATCACTCTTATTCAGCGTAGTACTATAAGTTATAGTCACTGTAATGAGGCAAACAAAATAAATAAAAGGCATACAGTTTAGAAAGGCAAACAAAATGATCTCTATTTGCAGGTGACATGATTGCCTACAGAGAAAATCCCAAGGAATCTACAAAATACTCTTAGAACTAATAAGTGAGTTCAGTAAGGTTGCAGGATATATAATCAACATACAAAAATCACATCACATTTCTGTATACTAACAGTAAGCATGTGGAAACCAAAATTAAAAACACATTATTTGCAATCATTCTAAATAAAAAATAATTCTTAGATTTACATTTAGCAAAACATGTACAGTTTATGTATGCTGAAAATTACAAAATGCTAGTGAAAGAGAAGACCTAAATAAATGGGAAGAAATACCATATTCATGAATTGGAAGACTCAACATAATGAAGATGTTAATTCTTCCTAAATTGATATACAGGTTTAATAAAATTCCTATCCAAATCTTAGCCAGCAAGTTTTTTTCTAGATACAAACAAACTTATTCTAAAATTTATATGGAAATGCACAGGCCCTAGAATAGCTAAAACAATTCTGACAAAGAAGAATAAAGCAAGGGAATCACTTTGCCTGGTATTAAGGCCTATTACATAGCTTCAATAATCAAGACTGTGCGGTACTGGTGGAGGGATATACACATAGATCAGTGGAACAGAATGGAGAATTCAGAACTAGACACACACAATTATCCTCAACTGATTTTTGTTAATGGTACAAAATTAGCTCAACAAAGGAAGAACAGCCTTTCAACAAATAATGCTGAAGAAATTTAGACATCCATAGACAAAAAATGAACCTTAATCTTACCTCACGTCTTATAAAAAAATCAATTAAAAATGGACCATGGGCTTAAATATTAAACATAAAATGACAAAACTTTTAGTAAAACATTTCACTAAAAATTTTGGGAGAAAATTTTTGGGATTAGAGCTAACCAAAGAGTTCTTAGACTTGACACCAAAAGCACAAGTAATAAAAGAAAAAATTAATAAATTGTACTTCCTCAAAATTAGAAACTTTTGCTCTGTGAAAGCCCATGTACAGGGGATCAAAAGAAAAACTATAGACTGGGAGAAAATATTTGCAAACCACTTATCTGGCAAAGGACTAGTATCAAGAATACATAAAGAAATCTCAAAACTCAACAGTATAAAAATAAAAATTCAATTAGAAAATTGGTAAAAGATATAAACAAAATACTCATAAAAGAGGATTATATGGGCCGGCCCGGTGGCGCACTGGATAGTGCGCCGCTTGGGAAGCGTGGCGGCGCTCCCGCCCGAGGGTTCGGATCCCACATGCAGACCGGTTCCTGCTCACTGGCTGAGCGAGGCGCGGGAGCAACACCGAGGGTTGCGATCCCATTGCCGGTCCCTGGTCCGGTA